CGTGCCCCATTGTCAGCAGGTACCCAAGCCTAAGATCCCCGCAGGGCATGGGGATAGCTTGAGGACATCTCAAGGGCATGGGGACGAACGTCCCTTCTCTTAGCAGGAGATCAGAACTCCAGCAGGAGACCGGAGCCAAGCCTTTGGGGACAAACATCCCCACCTCATGGCGGGAAACCAAGATCCTGGCGGGAACCGCATTTAATGCAGAAGATTTGGTGGTTGGGATCATTCCGTCCACAGCCGGCCACGTCAGCACATCCAACCACCCATTGACAGTATAAATAGTTGCATTTATTTCACTATAAAGGGTTCACAATTTAGCACTCTAGCCCTCTAGCAATAGTATCAGTACATAGCATAGCATTGTACATTCGGCCCTTCGGCCTGTAATCGTTTTAGTGAATAAACACTCTTTATTGGGCCATTTTCCCTGCTTGTTCTCCATCTACTTGTACATCTTCCACTCGAAACCCCTAGGTTACGTGTTGGGCCTGCGGGTTGAAGGAATAACCTCAACACCGTCCAAAATCATTCCTCCGCATTTTTAAACTTCCAAACATAAATAAGAGGACCATCAACCCTCACATGTCTTCCCCTGCCCTCAGAAAAACCAACTCCTAAACACACCTTTAAGGTAGAAGTCCAGTTTTCAATTTGGTGGTCAGTGGGAGCCAGAATTCCGGGATGAGTCGTACACAAAAACGACTCATTAGGCTCGAGGAACCTTGAGTATCACCCATTGTACTTCTTAAAAGCTATTTTAGGGATTTTAGAAAAAATCGAGTGAATGATTTCTATTTGGAGATATATTATTTTCCAACTGTATATATTATATGAGACAATAGCTGGTTTTGAGAACACTTTACTTATCGTTGTGAAAATTATTTGATTTTTCTAGAAAATGATACTCTTATCGATATGTACAAAGCATAAATGTTTTTCTCAAACTATATTATTTTACAAGGTTGAGTAATACTTGCTTAGCATTATGCTAGATTTAGTTTTTTTTTGTTTTCTTTTCCTTTCCTCTGATTTTAAACAGATGTTGATGATAAGGTTTGATTGATGATAGCATGCTTCTGAGAGCGATTTAGAAATTTCTTAGTCAAATTTAGTCTAGATTAAACATTTTATTTATGTTTTGAACTCTTAGATTAATTTATTATTGTTTTTGGGATTGCCTATGCATTCGACTATGTTTGACTAGGTGTGGCGGTAACACTCTTTTGTTTTAAAATTCCCGTTGTACTCTTCAAATTACATTATCATGAAAAAAAATTGTTGAAAATATAACATTATTTTGAGTGGGAAATTTGAGGGTGTTACAGTTTTTTTGCACTCGTTGAAATGTTTGTTGATCCCGGTTATATCTTTTATATGAGTGAAAGAAATCACGAGAATGATGATGAATAATTCATTAATTAGTTTATATACAAGAGGAAATTAATGGGATGTTTTCTTTCTTAAGAATCATGCCGCCAAGAAGAGACCCCCACGCAACCCCAACCATTGCAGAGCTTGCGCATACTATCCAACAAGTGGTGCAACTCATCGGCGCAGCTCAACCCCAAAACAATGGGATTGACTTCGCGGCATGTGTAGCTGCGTGAAACCCTCCTAAATACCTGGGCGAGGAGGACCACCTCATTCTTGAAGACTGGATCCGTACCTTTGACAAACGTTATGACTCAATCAACTGCCCGATGGAGCAGCGAGTGAACATTGTAGTGTACTACCTACATCAAGAGGTAGATCATTGGTGGGCCGCTGTCAAGCCAACGCTTCTTGAGCAGCCAAACTTTTCATGGGAGGACTTCAAGACAGCGATGCGTGACCGATTTTACCTTGATTACGTGAAGGAGGCAAATTACAAGGAATTTGTCCACTTCAAGCAGGGTGACTTAACTGTTCAAGGCTACCACACTAAATTCATGCAATTGTCTCGTTTTGAAGAGGACTTAATATCTATCGAGGCTAGCAGAACTCGTAGATTTGTTAACAGGCTTAACTTCGGTGCTCGGAAGTTAGTGAATGTTGTCGTGTCACGCCTCGAACCTACCCTGACACATCAACAACCCAACATACAGTACGAATAGTCAACCACAGTCCAACACATCCATACTATACTAGGCGTCTTGTATATCATTCACACGTAGTACATCCATCAACAAATATAACGTAAAATATTCGTTAAAGCAGCGGAAACATTAATACAAGTGTTCAAGCCACACTTGGCATACTTAGGCATACAAGCCCCCAAATAATTACTTAAAAAATAATATCCATGAGCATTATTGAAATTGTTTTTAAAATTGAAACGGAGGAAGCACGAACCACGTCTTTTCTCCTAGATCTCCCCGTAGAAACGGGCGTTGGTAGCAAGCTTCAACTTCTACCTTAAACTGTGAGGTGGCCTCCCCCGTGAAGGGGAGGTCAGTACTTTGAATTATTTGAAAAGTACAATGACAACTACATTGTATATAATCAATGTTTCAATTCTTAAGACCCTCAATTTAGGGTGATATATATTATAGGCCGTTGTCACGCCCAGACCACATCTAAGCGCGTGTACAACCGCCGTATGACCAAGTGACGTCACCCGCAAGTCAACGTGACTTAATCATACAAGGCGTCTATGAACATAATCCATCCATACTCAGTAGTAAACATACATAACAACATCACATTCAACCCAATGAATAGCGGAAATATTCAACGGTAAAGCATGGGCCACAACCGGCCAAAACATGGGCTCACATGCCCAAAATAGTTTATAGTAAAACAAATATCCATGAGCAAGTGTTTGGTAGTTTGAAAGGAAATAAGGAAGAACGAACCACGTCTTCCTTGATTTGAGTTCACCCATAAGAAGGTGCAGGTAGCAAGCCCTAGCTTCAACCTGAAAATGGTGGGGCCCCCCGAAGGGGTCAATACAAGTACCGAGCGAGTAGCAGGCTAAATATAGAATAACTAGCGTTTCAAGTATAAGACCCAAACATAGGATGATATTTATATAAATAATCTTCCCCCCAAGTTAAGAAATACTTAATAGTACATATACACTTGGAAAATACCCGATCCGTAGATCACCGTTTTATTTGGGAAAATAGTAATAGTCAATATTCTTGACTAAAAACCCCAACCCACCCATATGCCTATGAGTGTATAGGACTCCTCCTTGTCCATATTTATATACCATAACCTATGAGTTTTGAGGATCATAATCCTTGGGTACTCCACCAATTTATAATCCGAGTGTTAAGGACTTTTCGTCCTAGGGTCCTCCACCAATTTACAATCCGAGTGTTAAGGACTTTAAGTCCTAGGGTCCTCCACCAATTTATAATCCGAGTGTTAAGAACTTTAAGTTCTAGGGTCCTCCACCAATATATAATTTGAGTGTTAAGAACTTTAAGTCCTAGGGTCCTCCACCAATATATAGTCCTATGATCAAGCTCCTATCAACCTAGATAGAGTCTATATCATATTTATTCATTCATAACTAAATCAATACATAAAGCTTATGTATCACAATCCATGCAAAGCCATGCATTTATATAAATTTATAATTAATCAATACTAACCGGTATTAATTAATCCATTATCCATCGGTCAACGTTTCGTTGACCGCCATTTCAAGCCTTGTACGTATGAACTTAATCATCATATAATTAAGTTAATAATATTCCTTTGTGCTTCTCTTACACTTCAAGCAAAAATGCATTTTTATATAATTCCTCATATCATATTTCATGCATAAACAATTATTTCCTTTCATACAAACTTAACCATGTTGGCTAATCCCATGTTTAAATACCTTTTAAACATAATTATGAACACATATAACTTTTATTTAGGTAATCTCATAATTAACCCAAAAGTTATAAGATATTAAGCCGTCCACTCACCTTAAATGAGCTATAGTGTGTTCTACGCTCCTCGGTTGAACTCCGGCAAAACTCCGGCGAAACTCCGGCGAACTCCGGCGAACTCTAGGAATACCTTAGTTAAGCTCCTAACATGGTTTTATCATCACAAAAATCATATCAATACAAATAACCTCTAAAAGGTTATTTTCCGGCGAACCGGTCGTTTTGGCATCTAAGTCCGTTCTTGGACTTGGACTACCTTCTAACCCCTCATTCTACACTTCAAAACATGTAGAACAATCCTAGGGTCTCCTCATATGATGTATTAGTCATATGATAATAAAAATGTGGAAGAAAATTACTTAAACATCTTCTCACCTCTATTACCAAGGGTTTTCTCTATTTTTGTGATTTCTTCTCCTTCCTAGAGCTTCTTGCTTGCTTGAGCTCTCCTCAACAATGGAGGATGATGGGTGGAGAGGTTCTTGCTCTTAATTGGGGTGTGCTGGCCGCAGGAATGAAGGAGAGAGGGTGAGGATTACCTCTTTGTCTCATTGAACAAATGAGTGTGGATGGGGCCACCTCATTTTTGTTTGATGCCATATTGATCAAATCACCATTCTCACCCATGTTCCATTCTTTACTCCAACCGGCCAAACCCTTTATTTAGGTGACCAAATTCGTGGGTTGGCCCCCACCCATGTGGGAGGTCAACCCTTTTTGTCCAGAAGTGTACAATCGGTCCTGAAAGTTGTATTTTTCGGACTGTTTTAATTATATTTTATTTTATCGGGTCAAATAAAATATATTATGTGTTCCCCATCATTATGGACTCTTGGAATGAGTATTCATTCCCCAACTTTAATTTAGACGTCTCTGAAATGCGTTCCGGGCTGTTATCTGATAAATTATCGATACCGGTAATTGGGCCTTATTTGACAGACGGGTCAACCTCATGCCCTTCCTATGGCCCAACTAAAATATCTAAGAAAAGTGGGTTTGTGTGGTTGATATTTAATTGTTCATTGCCTCTTCATTCCACAAGTTCAAAGGTAAATTGGGAAACTTAACCCAAATAGGCACCTTAAGGAATGCCTCATCATCAAAAGTGAAGTCATCGGAAAGCATTTTCAAGATAAGTAATCTTCCAAAGATATTATAAGGTCCTTCGGTAAAAACCTTAGTTCTATCATGCTCATTCTTAAATTTAAATATCACCCACCCATATATCGCTTTAAGTCTCGGGAATCTACATGTAAAGCATCCAACAAGGCAAAACCCCACACCGAGACCATAGAAGGTAACACACAATTTGAGAGATCAACAACTTCATCACCGGAAGGAAGATATTTCAATTTGATACCTTTAGACGGAGCACGATTGTCTCTAAAAAGTTCAGCCCATTGTGGATTAGTCCCAGCAGGTTTAGCTACTTGCTCCCCGTTTGGCCCAGGATTAATCTGTCCAGGTAAAGTAGCTGCAGTGGGTATCAACGGCCCAGGTGCAGCAGCATTTCCAGAAACAGATACGGGCTTCCCAGGTTCAGAAGCACCTCCAGCAGAATCGGGCTTCCCAGGAGCATCAGCAGTCCCTGCACAAGTGTTCCCATCCCCTGCGTTTGCCTTCGCATTCTTCACAGTAGTTCCCAGAGCTGGGAACTCGCTGTTTGGTTCCTCCAACACGGAGAAAGAGGACCTCGTAATCCTTGCTGTGGACGCTACACCAGTTCCCTGTAATTTCTTCCTCGCCATGGTACAAACGCAGGGCTACAGTACCAATAGCGCCTCAGACAAAACACGGTTGGGTCTTCAGCTTTCGTCCATCATTCAGAGCCAAAATAAAGCTCATGAAAGGTTTCAGAAGCGATTTGGCCCTCAAAACAGCAGTAAAACACAAATTAACAAAAAGGAACGAAGAATTTAATCGAGCAGACCATGAACAGTACACGCTCGTAATTCGTCGTTCTAGGTCAAGAAACGTCTTCAAAAAATGAAATCGAAGTACAGAATCAGTATCTGACAGTTAATCCGATCCTGAAACTAACAGCTAACCTTCCAAAACCATCACCTGATCCATGGAAATCCTGCTGCGTAAGAAAAAGAGTTGCGTTCGCCGATGAGCACAGGAGAGAAGCTCTCTCAACTTTCTTCAGGCCAAATTTGGAGCTACACAAACTTTAACAAATTTGGTATGGGACAATCTTAGTGGTAAAATGGAACAAACTTAGTGAGCGGGACTAAGAGAGTATTTATCTATTCTGGTTATGCTTTACTTTCTGTAGTAACAAAATTAGGCCTTGTGTACTTCCGCAAGGCCTTCCTGGCTGCTGAGTAGGACATGAAGGTCGTTGCCCAGATAAGGAAGAAGTCGAGGCGCTGCTCAATGCCACTTGGAAATTGGCGGCCTCAGTCAGTGTGACAAAGGGTGACAATGCGATGGAAGATCTGGCCGAGTCAAACGAGTGGATAAGGCATCATGATAAGGAGATTCATGCCCTTCTTAACAAGGTGAAGGTTGCGGAGGCGATCGAAGTTTCCTTCCAAAAGACCAAGAAAGGGGACAATCCTCCGGCCTCGTTCATCTCTAATGTCTCAAAGACCAAGCAGCAGGGGTCCATTGATTTCTAACGGGGCACCATGCTAAAGGTGGCGCTCCAGAGACCGCTTAGAAATTCTTATCTAGACATATTGGTGAGTTCTTGATGGGTAGCGATGATCACATGGTGGTTGGGATCAAACTGCTTGACATACCATCTGAGGGGAAGGAATTCATGGAGGCCCTTTCCTTTGCACCTCTTAATAAGAACATGGACATCCTGGTTGAGGATAATCTACCACTACGAGGAAGTCGCTCAAAGACTTTTTGCGGAGCGGCCGGACTCCGGAGGTGGTCCGGAGGCCAAAGGTCTCTATTGCATATTTTCGCCAAACCTGGTATGAACCCTCCCAATTTTGGCGTCTTGCTACCATGAGTACCATCAAAGTACATGATACAAAGTACAAAAAACACTTATAAGGGTAGGAGTGGCCCGGAACCGGCCCGGAACCGAACCGGAACCGGACCGGCCCGCTATTGTGCGGGCCCGGACCGGCCCGGTGAACCGGTTGGTGCCCGGTTCGGACCACCCAGCCCGGTGAGGTAGGCGGTTCGGGCCCGGTCCGGGCCAATTTATTTATTTATTTATTTATTTATTTGATTTTTTTTAAGTTTTTGGGTTGGGTTGGGTATGATGGGCCTAGGGATGGACTCGGGCCGGGCCAACCAGCCCGGAACCGGACCGGCCCGCTACTGTGCGGGCCCGGACCGGCCCGCTACTGTGCGGGCCCGGACCGGCCCGGTGAACCGGTTGGTGCCCGGTTCGGGCCACCCGACCCAGTCTTCTAGCGGTTCGGTCCCGGGCCTGCATTTTAGTGAACCGGCCCGGCCGGCCCGGGCCCGATCTGGGCCGCAACGGTCATATTTTTTTTTAAAAAAAAATTAAAATACTTAAAGGCTCCATAGCCGTTGGGAGAGCTCCCAAACGGCTCTATAGCCGTTGGGAGCATAGGAGGGGGGGTCTGGGGGTTAGGGGGGTGGGGTGGGGGTGGGGTGGGGTATACAAAAAAAACCTATTTAAACTCCTATTTTCTATACATTTTTTACACCTCTTCTTCTACAACTCTTCCTATTCTCTAAATTCTCTATTCTCTCAATCTCTCATATTCAATCATCTTCATTCTTCATCTTCTCCAAATTCTTTCTACATATATATAATTTATATAATTATTATATCTACTTATATATTAATTATCTACTTATAAATATATACTTATACACATTCATATTATAATTCTTTACACATTATATTATATATACTATATATAGTTATACATTATATTATATAGGCTAAAGGGTCAAATAGGTCCTTGTACCCTTTCAGATTGCTCAAGTTGCCCCCTCAACCCAAAAAAGCTCCAATTGGCACCTTGAACTCGATAAAAATATTCAAATTTCACTTTTTGCAGGTTTCAATCCGGTCACCGCCACGTCACCCCGGTAGGGTGCCAACTTAGGGGGTCAAATAAGCCCCTGAACCCGATCGAATCGTTCAATTTACCCCCTCAACCCTAAAAAATGTCAAAAAAATTTTAAGGGTTGAGGGGGTAAATTGAACATTTCAGTCGGGTTCAGGGGCTTGTTTGACCCCCTAAGTTGCCATGTCACATGCACAGTTGGCACCCTCCCGGGTGATGTGGCGGTGACCGGCTTGTGACCTGCAAAAAGTAAAATTTGAATCTTTTTAGGGAGTTCAGGGTGCCAATTGGAGCTTTTTTAAGTTCGGGGGGCAAATTGAACAATCCGGAAAGGTACATGGGTCTATTTGACCCTTTAGCCTATTATATATTACTTATACACATTCATACATTTTATAAAAGTAGTTAATTGTTAGACTTCTCCTTTATCTATTAAATTACTTAATTGTTTCATTTGTCATATTAGTATTAGTTAAAGTAGTTAATTGTTTCATTTGTCATATTAATATTAGTTAAAGTAGTTAATTGTTTCATTTGTCATATTAATATTAGTTAAAGTAGTTAAAGTTAATTGTTTCATTTGTCATATTAATATTAGTTAAACTACTTAATTGTTACATTTCTCATATTAATATTAGTTAATTGCTACATTGCTCATTAAAGTTAAAAAAAGTAGTTAATTTTTACATTTCTCATATTAGTTAATTGCTACATTGCTCATTAAAGTAAAAAAAGTAGTTAATTTTTACATTTCTCATATTAGTTAATTGCTACATTTCTCATTAAAGTAAAAAAAAAGTAGTTAATTTTTACATTTCTCATATTAGTTAATTGCTACATTGCTCATTAAAGTAAAAAAAAAAGTAGTTAATTTTTACATTTCTCATATTAGTTAATTGCTACATTTCTCATTAAAGTAAAAAAAAGTAGTTAATTTTTACATTTCTCATATTAGTTAATTGCTACATTTCTCATTAAAGTAAAAAAAAAAGCAGTTAATTTTTACATTTCTCATATTAGTTAATTGCTACATTTCTCATTAAAGTAAAAAAAAGTAGTTAATTTTTACATTTCTCATATTAGTTAATTGTTACATTTCTCATTAAAGTAAAAAAAAAAGTAGTTAACTTTTACCTTTCTCATATTAGTTAATTGCTACATTTTTACATTTCTCATATTAGTTAATTGCTAATATTTGTTCAATTTTAAAGATGGAGCGTGGTAGACATTCTGTAAATGTGGGTAATCTCCAACGCAACCGCAAGAGGGAGATTGCATCGACTCGATCTACTTCACGCAAAGGCAAAGGTAAAGCGCGGGCCGAGTCTTCTTTTCAAAGTCGAGATGATTTTGAAACGGATTACCAACGGCGAGATGATATGATGATGTCCGACGAGCAACTACAACACCTATTGTCCCAAAATGATCCACGCTTTGCACAAGAACAACAATTCCCGACAACCATTAATGAAGAGGAGCTCGAGGATGACGATGCGGAGGAGGACGCGGGGGGCGACGGGACTCACGGCACCCTGGATGATGAGCAAGAGTTGGAGGACGAGGGCCGTTCAACGACTACAACCCAAATTGGTAAGAAATCTAAATCTCCTATTATTGAAAACAATTATACAAAAAGGAAAGACGAAAATACCGAAAAATGGTACACAAGTTGCAATCATTGCAACAAAGAGTTTAGCTTGGAAATTTCTGGCGGATACGGGAGTCTCAAAAGGCATCTTCAGTCCGTCCACTTTGTGGAGTATGCGAAAATAGACAAAGGCACGGGGAAGCAAACACAAATATCGAGGTTTGCAAATTCTCAACCCTTTGGTAATTTTTCCTATGATGATAAAAAACATTTGACTGGTATGTCTCATTTAATTGTTGAAGAAAATTACCCTATATTTTTTCCGAAAGTCTTGTTTTAAGAGATTATGCTCAAGGTACTTTAAATCCTCAATTTAGAAATTATAGTCGCAAAACGATTAAAAAAGAAGTTATAAGGCAATATAACTTGGAAAAAGAAAAATTACAAACATTTTTCGCAAACTTTGATGGACGTGTTAGTATTTGTAGCGATATATGGAAGGATACTTATCATCATTTATATTATTTGGGTCTTACTGCACATTATATTGATGATGATTGGAATATGCATAAACGCGTTCTTGCTTTTCGTGAATTCAATGATCGTCACACTGCTGATAATATTTATATTCTCATTGAACGTATTTTAATTGAGTATAATTTTATTGATAAGGTGTTTGCTGTAGGTTTTGATAATGCTAGTAATAATACTGCTGCTATACCTAGATTACGTGAATTGTGTGATGCTTCTACATTGATGGGTAGGTTTTTTCATCAACGTTGTGCATGTCATATTCTAAATTTGTGTGTACAAGATGGCTTAGCGGCATTAGGAAATGCTTTGGAGGTAGTGAAGGGGGAATTAAATTGATTTGGGCTAGCACTCCACTAAAAATGCAATGGCGGCAATATTTGAAGGATAGACGTGTCAATTATTGTGCTTTTCTTAAAGATTTGTCTATTTGTTGGAATAGTACTTATAATTTAATTCAAGTACTTATTAGATATAAAGATCATTTTCCAGCTTTTTTAAGACAAACTTGTAACTATATTATAAACCCGGCTGACATCGACACTTGTGAAAAAATTGTTAATGTTTTGGCATATTTTAATAACGCAACTCAAACTTTTAGTCATGTTTATAAACCTACCGCAAACGAATTTTTTGTTGAAGCTGTTAATCTCGCCGGCGCTTTTTGTGAATTTTCCGAAGCCACTTACGTTAGTTATTTTTGTGATTTCATGAAACAAAAGTTTTTAAAATATTATTCACATATTCCGCATATATATGGTATTGCATTTGTTCTTGATCCTCGTTATAAACTTGCTTACTTGGCAAATTGTATAGATTACTATTATGTTTCTTTTTTTCCAACTCAAGAGTTCGATGATAATCCCATCGACCCTAAAAAAGAATTCAACGAGGTTAGTAATTTATTTCATCAATTGTATAATGAATTTTATGCACAATATGGTAATGCACCCCCTCCCATGCAACGAACATCTTCTTCATCTAAAGGAAAATCACTTTTAAAATCCGCTTTGGGTTCTCTTTTGAAAAAAAGTAGAGCAACTCCCGCTACTGAACAAAGCTCAGGTAACGAGCTTTCTTTGTATCTAACATTGAATGTGTTGATAGAAAATATCCCGGGTAGAGAAACTAGCAGCATTTCAGTATAGTAAAAATAGCGTAGAGAATACAAGGGGGTGATGGCCTATTTATAGGCATCCATCACAAGTCCAAAGTCTAATCTACGGGGGCTTGGCCCAAATACATAATACATGTCCAAGCTAATGGGCGAACCGGCCCGATAAATAAGTAAATGAGCAAGGGGTGATTCCCGCTCGTGAGACTGCGTCTTGGGCCTAGTTGGGCCAAAGCTCGGGGATAACGGGCTGATGGCACTGGGCCGGGCATATTATCCCAACACGAGTCCCCCACTCCCTTAGTCGAGTAGTAGACTCGGTTAAAATGGAGTAGTTGAGCTGCTTTGAAATCGGCCTGGTTGCTAAGCTAGCTAGCTAGTTACACAGATGATTGTTGATGATGATGATCTGCGGTGTGCCTGGAAAGGTTAGTCATGTAACCGTCTGTTGTGATCCCACAGTGTTGCGCAAGGATGAGACCTTTCTTGTCTAGGTAGCATCCTGGGGTCCTGGTTATCTGGCCAGCTGCCAGGTCTTCTTTGCTCCAACCGGGAAGACCTCTTCCTTTGTTCATGATGAGGGGATGCCTCGTTAAAACCTTACTAGGAAAAAACCCGGTGGGAAAAAATCCTAGCGAAGGAAAAAGAGTACACCGGTACCTCAAAATAAAATAGAGGAAGGTCAGTCTCGTCGGTTCTTGATTGAGCGTCTGCTTTACTGGTAAGCCGAGATATGTTCCGGGAAGGCCAGTCGCTCGTCTGCTTTCCAGTGGTGGCGGTCGAGCCAATGCATGCTCGGGAGAGACCATCCGCATAACTGTTTGTCGATGATGCCGAGCTAAGGTATGCCCATGAGAGGCTGGTCGCAAAGCTGCCCGTTGATGATGCCGAGCCGAGGTATGCTCGGGAGAGGGTAGTTTTATAACTATGCACATTGATCCCCGCTGCTTGTGAGAGGATATGGTTTCCTTCGCCTAGGTAGCAGTTTTAGGTCTTGTTTATCCGATTAGCCTCCCATGGTCTCGTTCTTCTGATCAGCAGCCTGGGGTCTTGTTTGTCTGATTAGTTGCAGCCCACGGTCTTGCTCTGGTGGAGAGATCTCTTCTTTAAATGCACCCAAAATATAGCTAAAGGGTAAGCTCTTAGGCCATTGTGTGCAGCTGCAACTGTCGCCATCCGTCGAGGGGATAACAAAGACCGGTCTTCACTTGTGAGCAGTGCTCACCTGATGTTCTCGAGACAGATGCAGTGAATAGTCCGCCATGATAAGTAGTCCCTATTGATTGCTATTATTACATGTTAAAGAAATAGCAGGTAAAAGAGGTTCCAGCGTTGCTTTAGCTGCAGTGCAAGATAATAAATTTTGGCCTTCAAAGTCAGATGAAGGTCTATCTCAGGTAAGGAAGAAGCCTAGAGCTTCTCCGCCTGGTGCTGGGGAAAAGATAGAAGCTTCCCTGCTTTGTGAAGAGCGACTTTCCTAGAAGAGCAAATGTATAAACTGCTCCTTAGGCCGGGTAAGGGGAGATAACCCAACCGGCAGAATCCTCGCTCACGCTGTTTGTTTCCTCGCAGGTATGGCTGGTTGGACGGAGAAGCGCATTTGCTGCCCTGCCCTGATCTTCATTTCCTCATAGGTATGGTAGGTCGGAGAAGTGCACTTGCTGCCCTTCCCTGACCTTCGTTTCCTCGTAGGCATGGATGGTCGGAGAAGCGCATTTGCTGCCTTGGATGCAACGAAAGATGCTAAGTCTCGACCTTTGACATCCGATGCAAGTCCATCTAATGTCGGAGAGAAGCACACAACTTCTCCACATGATGTCGGGGAGAAGCGTGCAGCTTCCCTACATAATGTCAGGGAGATGCTTAGAGCTTCAATGTCTGATACCGGGGAGATGGACGCTCATTCCCTGCCTGATGCTGGGTAGAGGCACGCACCTTCCCTGCCTGATGCCGGGGGATGCTAAGAGTTTCTCTGCCTGATGTCCGGAGAGATGCCCAGCTTCTCCGACTGATGCCGGGTAGAAGCATGCACCTTCCCTGCCTAATATCGGGAAGATGCTAATAGTTTCTTCGCCTGATGCTGGGGAGAAGCACTCACCTTCCCAGGCTTGCGATGAAGAAATAGTGGTCATCCCTATGGACGGCGGACTGCCCCGATTATAGAATCAAAATGATGACGTTTAGTCTGGTCGTGATGAATCCATAACAGCGGTCATCATCCAAGTGAAGGGGAATGCGACCGGTCTTGAAATGAGAATGGTGGCACTGAGACGATCCTGACGAGGATGGCAATTCGTAGGCCGACTTTGAAATCAAAGCAGCGGTCATCATTTAAGTGAAGGAGGATCTGACCGGTCTTGAGAAAGGAATGATGGTGTTGAGCCGGTGCTAACGTAGACGACGACTCATTGGCCAATCATGAATCTGAAGCAGTGGTCATTATCGTCATCCCGCCAAGGTCGGATCAAGAGAGTTGTGCTTGGATAGCTCCCTGATGCAGGTCAAGAAAGCGATGCAAGGTAAGAGAGTGATGTTAGATCCTTCCCGGTGATTTCAGAGTTTTGCAAGCTTTAGGCTCGAGGCCCAACCTTCGGAGCACGTTCCAACGTCGGTGATGTAATAGATGAGGTAATTATCATGTTCAAGGCCTCCCTAAACGTTTTCAGAGCTTGTCACTTCTTAGGTCGAGGACCGGCATCCGGAGTATGTCCACGCTTAGTTGCGCAGGATGCTAACCCCGACCTTCAATATCAGATGCAGGCCCGGTCAATGTTAGAGGGAAATGCAGGGCTTCTCTGTCCAGTGTTGTAAGAAATGGTGCAGCTTCCCCGCCTCGTGAAGATAGACTTTCCAGGAAGAGAAAGGGTATGAACTGCTTCTCAGGTCGGGTTAGGGAAGGCAATCCTACCCGTACAGCTCCAGCTTACTTCGCTTGTTTTCTTGCAGGTATAGTCGATTGGGAGAATCGTGCAGCTTCCCTTCCTGATGCCGGGGAGAAGCATGCAGCTTCCCTGCTTCATAAAGTACCACCTTGTTCGTTTCTTTGCAGATGTGCCAGGTTGAAGAAGCGAATTTCTTGCCTTGGCTGCAAAGAGAGATGCTTAACCATTTTCCATGTCATCTGATCTTTTTCCCTGCAGGGACTGGCGGATCCGGTCGCATTGCTCCGTGCTATGAAAGATCAGCATACGGAGCTCCAGCGTCAAGCTGATTAAGCCCATCTTCAGGCTACCCAAGCTCGGCAGCATGCAGATGGAGCGGAGGCAGCCTTGAGGATACTTTTCGCATGCAATGAAGAGGATAAGAGAGCCATGATCGATCTCCACTCAAAGTGTGACCAGTTGAAGTCGAGTATAACCAAGTAGAGGCATCGTTTGCGGATGCAGCGCAACAAGCAATTGCGGTGCTCAAAGCTTCTCAGGAGTTCTCCGAGCTTCTTGCTTCCCGGACTAAGGATGTGGGACACCAAGCATCCCATAAATTCAAGAAGCCTGTTTCTTCCCAGACGTATGCTTTCTGTGCAGAGCAAGTTCATTATTGGCTTCAGACCAAAGAGGGTTGTAATTGGCACAAAAAGTTGTCTTGTTCTATTTTAGTTGTGGCCGGCATGATACGCAGACTAGCCGTGATGGGTGGAGAAGATGGACAATGTTGATGTCGAACTTGTTCTCCGTGATTGATTTATCACTTGAGCTTGTATGCATGCATCGTTCGTTCTTTCAATTTTCTTAGTCGTTTTTTATTCAAGAATACTTGGATAACTTATCGGGGATCTGGCTCCCCACCTAGGCCGCGAGGGGCGGAAGGTCGATAGGGTCGACCTTGACCGTGCTCTGCTGGGTAAGGCGGGGCTGACCCGCACACTGTTGGTCTAGGACCGACGAGTTGTGCAAGCTGTTCGACCAGCGATTGGACAACGGATGTACGAGAGGGGCTCGGGGCATGACCTCTCGCATACCTTCGACCCAGAGGTCGGTCTTACACCACCTTGACTTGTACATCTAGTTTCATACTTAGGAAATATTTTGGTTGTTCCATTTCTGAAAGTCGAACTGAAGTCGGCCAAACGTAAGGGCAAGGCCCTGCATGATCAGACCAGAACGGACCCGCACCGTTGATCCTATCAAGCGCGTATGCGGGCTGTTAAGCCTAGCAACGTCAGACAACGGATGTACGAAAGGGGCTCAGAGCATGACCTTTCGCATTCCTTTGGTCCGGAGACCAGTCATATAGTTGCCGCATCGTTGATTGGATCATACGTGCATGCGAGCTGTTTAGACAACAACATCAGACAACAGATGTACGAGAGGGGCTTGGGGCGCGACCTCTCGCATACCTTTTCGACCCGAAAGCCGGTCTTACAATTGCTCGAGGGCCGAGCCGTGGTCGACTAAACACCGAGAGCGGGGCGTGGTATACATATACTCTCTTTTTTTCTCTCCTTTTTTTGCTCTCCTCTTTTTTCTTTTGCTCTCTTTTTTCTCTCTCTTTTTTTATTTGCTCTTTTTTTTAGCCGCCGCCCGTTTAATCCAAGTGAGGTCGGACCTCATCAAATTCAAGATTGAAAAATGAAATATATACTTTTTAATAAACAATGAAAGAATTTGAGAACTTGAGGAGTTGCTCCAGTTATGCACTTGATACACAATTTGTGATGATCGACTCATAGAATGTGAGAGATCTGATCTGCAATCTACTCTTCATCAACGAGCTTGCAGTACTTCGCTCTTAGGATTAGAGAAGGTTCCCGGCGCTCCACACTTAATCTCCAAGCTTGTATTGCTCCGCTCATAGAATCTAACAATTTGCCCTGCGCTCCGCACTTGATCTACAAACGCGTTGTGCCCCGTTCATAGAATTTGGCAAAAGTGCCCTACACTCCGCTTGATCTACAAACTTGCAGTGCCCCGCTCATAGAATTTGATAAGGTGCCTTGCGCTACGCATTTGATGTACAAGCTTGTGATGTTCCGCTCAAAGGACTTGACAGGGTGTCCTGCATTGATCTTGATTCTCATACTTTGTAGCTTTGTTGTTGATGGTATGGACCCTGAGGTCCACCCGCTCGAGTTGCTTCAACGCCTTCGCGTAATGGCTTCGTGTTATGGCTTCGTGTTGCAAGGTTTTATTTCAATGGTGCTTCCGGGTCTCTGAGTTATAGCTCCGTGTTGCAAGGTCTGTGCCCCTTGGCAACGGTGCTTCCTTCCTTCCGAGGACGAGTGCTGCCGAGAGGGCCTCCTTCCTGGCTCTGCCCTTGTGGAATGGCTTCACGTTGCAAGGTTTGTAACCCCTTAGCAACACTGTTTCCTTCCTTCCCGAGATGAGTGCTGCCGGGAGGGCCTCTTTTCTGGCTCCGCCCTTGTGGAATGGCTTCGTGTTACAAGGTTTGTAACCCCATAGCAACGGTACCCCAAGGTCTGTACCCCTTTATCAACGATGCTTCATCATGGTACCAGTGCATGGTTCTGGGACGTGGAGGTCGGCCACATATGGCTCTCCCCTGACGACCTTTCTCCTCAGCTCGTGTAGCCTTAGCCTCATATCTTTCACCACATCAGGGGCCAGTTCTGCTTGTGCGCGCCCAGCGCGGAGCTGAACTTGCGTAGAAGACTTCACAACTCTCTCACGTACGTGAGGTCGAGATTTAGCATGGCGTCTGTCCGGGAAGGCTGTCCGCCTGCCCGGTCGACAGAAGTGATAAGACGAGTCATCCTTCCTTGCTACCATGGCTACACAACTTGTCGGGACACATACTCCCTTTGAGATCCATTTGCCCTGAGTGTACGAGCATGGTGTATGGCACCGAGCATACAAGCGTCTGAGGTGATAGCTCCTAGCGTGCTCGACCTCGTGATTGTGCTCCGGAACCACAATCAGTTGGCATACACAATGAACCTACAATTTCAGAAAATTTTGTAGAAATCTCAAATTTATATTTTTATTGTTCAAGGGTTGTCCTTTGCAATGGAGCCAAAGATTCATTATTTTTGGCTTGAGATTATGATGGAATAAAGCAAAATGGCTCACTAAACTGTCTGCGCTTCTTTGTTATGAAGCAGCAGTCAGTCCATGCAATTTTGGACGAGATTTTCACTATGGGTCATCCGGAAATAGTCTCTCTTTGCTTAAGTACAGGGGCAAGGCTGCGTACATCCGACCCCCCCTTACCCCACCGTAGGTGGGAGCCTTTGCGGCACTGGGGTAAATGAAAATGAAATGAAAATGAATTGTTCAAGGGTTGTCCTTTGTTGAGCGGGTGAGGTCTGTGCCCATCTTTGGATGAGGCTTCGAACTGAGGAGAAGTCTGCTGCTCGTGAGGGAGATCCTCAACCGCCGGTGTCGCTCGAGCTGCCTCCATCCATGGCTGTCGTCGGACGGAGTTGAAGGTGAATCCATGTCACTGAGGTCAGCCGAAAAGAGCTTGTGCAGTCCTCGATTCGTATGGATAGAGCAGATAGAGAGCGATGGCAAGGCTCCGTTTGCGTCACGTGTGAAACCCGCTCGTCAATCCCAGGAACCTCAAGCGGCCATTAATGGCAAGGCTCCTTTTGCGTCCGCCGTTGCTCAGTTCTCTCGGTCGTTCGTTGCTCGGGTTCTCCTTGGTTCAACCTTGGTGGCTGCGTATCCTTGGGACCTAATCTGGAAAATTTCATATCTGATTTTTGCTCGAATCTCTACCGGTTCCTACCAAAAATGAGAGATGACTCTCAATGAAAGCACCAATGTTGATAGAAAATATCTCGGGTAGAGAAACTAGCAACATTTCAGTATAGTAAAAATAGCGTAGAGAATACAAGGGGGTGATGGCCTATTTATAGGCATCCATCACAAGTCCAAAGTCTAATCTACGTGGGCTTGGCCCAAATACATAATACATGTCCAAGCTAATGGGCGAACCGGCCCGATAAATAAGTAAATGAGCAAGGGGTGATTCCCGCTCGTGAGAATGCGTCTTGGGCCTAGTTGGGCCAAAGCTCGGGGATAACGGGCTGATGGCACTGGGCGGGGCATATTATCCCAACAGAATGTTGATTATGAAGTTGGTGATGACTTTGACGTTCTTAAGTGGTGGAAGGAAAATGAAAGAACGTTCCAGATTTTATCAAAGATGGCTAAGCAAGTGCTAGCAATGCCGATATCAACCGTTGCCGTGGAACAAGAATTTAGTGCGACCGACAACGTCCTAACCAATTATAGAACGAGGTTGAGCCCGAGCTCTCTTGAGACACTAGTTTGCTTTCACGATTGGTTGAAGGCCCAACGAAGAACTCAAGAAATTACCATCACTCCCACCCGCCACTTTATGGAGGAAACAACCGAAGGCGGAGATTCCGATTGATTTTTTTATTACAAAATGTATTACATTTTTTAAATTCATCCTAATTCTCAATTGTACTTCTTATTTGAAATAAATATACTTGAATTAGAATATAATATATTGTAATTGTAATACGAATTATTCTAATAATATAATATATAATAAAAAAAATTAAAAGGCCCGGCCCGGCAGGCGGCCCGGCTCGTGAACCGGGCGGGTGACCCAAACCGAACCGGACCCGGGGTTATCCGGTCCGGTTTCGGGCCTGCCTTCTGTGAACCGAGGCCCGACCGGTTCAAGGCCCGAACCGAGTCCACCACTAGATGGGCCATTTCAGGTGGTTTGGGGTGGTTTGGGGGTGAGGGGGGATGATTGGGGGTTAATTAGGAAAAGACAAAAAAAAAATACATGAATCAAGGCCCGGCCTGGCCCGGACCCGAGGTTACCCGGGCCGGTTCCATTCCTCCCCTTTCATGAACCGAGGCCCAACCGGGCCCAGACCCGAATCGGGCCCGAACCGGAACCGGTCCACCCCTGTATAAGGGTGAAATTAAAGTTGGATTGTACCAAATTAGTATTATTTATTTCACAAATTAAATTTTAGAAATTACTACTTCCAAATAAAACTTAGAGCATTTTAACTTATGTACTTATTTCTCTAAATTTATATTTGTAAAACACATATAAATTATATAATCATGATGAAAAAAAAAATTATATAAAATTTGGAATATATATTATATATGCAAGTTTGGAATATTTCTCACACCCCATCAAAATTTGGGATATTGATATTATTTTCCCATTATTATTATTATTATTATTATTATTATTATTATTATTATTATTATTATTATTATTATTATTATTATTATTATTATTATTATTATTCAGATCCGAAAGATTCAAATGTGACTAGGAATGAGTACAAGGGAGAAAGTACTAAAAATAAAATGAATATCATATTCTGATATGCTTCCAAAGAGAAAAACTAATAGTCTCAAAGGGGGAAAGGAGACCAGGTTACATCAGAGCCCAGACTCGAGAGACAATAGAAGGGTTGCAACTTCAAAGCAAACACAAGGAACAATGTTCAAAGGGAGACATTGACATTAAAAGAAGATTGGGTTACAACAATTTCTTTGGAATTATCTTCTGACGTGGGGTGGTTTGGGCAGTCAAACTTAAGCATCACATGTAGAGGTCTGCATAAAATGAGGCTTTCCAAATCTCTATGTGAAGCCAACAAATATGAAACAAGCACATCTGGCACTTGCTTCAAAATATATGACTTCTCCATAATTGTATGCCCACAGATCTCCGATCCATTATATTCGAGAATCCTTCAAGAGCATACAGTGATAGTGATGTTGATAGGGCCAACTTACATCAATACTACAAGGAACGAAGTACACTGTCAGTGGCTTCCACACCTCTCACAATTTCTTTTAGAGTCCCAGAGGCAAGGTCCATAACCCATAAAGTCCACAAGCTGCAAATAAATTTTTGAATTGCAGTCACAACCCCAGTTGCAGCGGCGGAACCAGACAATAATTTGAGAGGGTGTTCTTATATTTTTTTTGAAAAACATTTTTTTATTAGGATAAAATAAAAACGAGTGAAAAATAATTATTAATACATATAGAGTGAGGTTCTAATAAAAAGAGTTATTCCCGTGAAAAATGAGAACGGACACATTTTTTACTCGTTTTGATACACTAGTAGATATTTATTTTACACTTTTTCACAATTAGAGAAAATTTTGATTTATTTATCAAATTGTCACCGAGTTTTTGATAAAATATAGTGCATTGTTGACTGATTTTGACTCATCGGATCTCAAGTTAAATGCACAAGATTTATTCTCGATCAATTTTCATGATAAGAACTCTTTTTATTTGATCCGAAACTTATATATATGTATATGTAGTGTGTTTCAAATAAAAATGCTATTATACTAAACAAAAGGTAAATACTTATATTAACTTAAAGTAGTTTTAGAATTATTCTTGACATTAAATGACAACGTCCGTATATGTCATTATTAGAAGAAGAAATGATTAAAATTAATTTGAATTGAAGAAATGAGAATTTAAAATAAAAGATATAGAAATTCAAAAAGTGTGATTTAAACAACATTACATCCTAGAGTGATTTAATTGAACATAAATAATTACCAAATGGGCTAAAGTCTAAAGAAGCAATAATGGAGAAAGCAAAAAAATATTGTTGCTCCTGAGAATTGAACCCAGGCTATTTAGGTAGATAAAGCTCTCTCAACCCCCACCTTACCATTTGAACTATCACAACTCATACATTCAAATAGCGACTCCACTTTAATATATGAATACTTTCTGAACCGGGGCTGAGATATATACATATATATACATACAGAACCACCGCCGAAGAAGGGGGAGCACCGGCACCGGCTCGCCCCCCTAGTTCCGCCACTGCCCAGTTGTATCGATTTGAGTCAAAAAAATGTAAAAAAGGGTCAAATATGCCCTCGAACTTACATAAAAAGGTCAAATAAACCCTTATATAAGAGGCTCTGTCCGGTCGTCGTCATTTGAGTCAGTTCCTAGTGGATTTTTTTGATCAAATTTCAGCTAACAATTCAATCGAAAAGACATTCAAAGGAATTCTTGAAGATAACTGCGTTTTTAACTGCGCAGTTATCTTCAAAAATTCATTTGGATGTCTTCCCGATTGAAGTTTTAGCTGGAACTTGGTATAAGTAAACTAGACTTAATAAATAAGATGCTCAAAAAATTTCATCAAAAAATTCCACCTCGAACCGCCCCAAATGACGATGACTGGACAGAGCCTCTTATATAAGGGCTTATTTGACCTTTATATGTAAGTTCGAGGGCCTATTTGACCCTTTTCCAAAAAAAAAATTATTGTTTCAATTGCTCTTTGTATTATCAGTCAATAAATTCAAACTGGTTAATTTCTAAAACTTCAACAGAACGTAACGGAAGAAAACGATGTAGCAATGTTTGCTTGAAAGACCCACATGCCAAACAAAGATTTGGTACGTGAAATCATCTAAGAGAATTAATTAGGTGTCCATCAACAGCCTACTGTTGAGTCTAATCCTATCAATAAACCCTATTTCTCTATCAATATTTCAGATCTGTACTTGTTGTTTTAGTGTGAATACTCAGATCTCGCCAGTTACCTCATGGTACCTAAATACTGAATAAAGATCAAGGAACTCTGGTACCTAAACTGAAGCAAAAAGATAACTGAGGAATGGGGGAATCTGAAAAGGAAAAAGAAAAAAGAAATCTACCTACATGGCTACATGTGTTCATGAGTGTAACTACAAATGCATAACTGCAGCATTGCACTCTTCTGTCGACAGATAATATAGAGAAAATTCCCTAAATAGGAGTAACGCATACTCCCTCCGTCTTGAAAGAACTTTCCTACTTTCCTTTATGGTTCGTCCCAAAATAATTGTCTTGTTTCCTCTTTTGGCAATAATGTATGGCTCATATCTTTTTTTTATGTGTGGCTCATATCAATTCACCTTTTTCTATTAAAATCTCAACCACAACTTTTACCTTTTCAACCACTTTCTTACACTTTCTTAAAACTTGTGCTAAAGCAAACAAGACATTTGTTTTGGGACAGAGGGAGTGGTAATTATCACAAATAGGAGTACCCTTGTTTTCTTCAGAAAATAGGACCCACATACTTCAATTTACGGAAATTTTTATTCTTTTAATAGGACTAAATAAGTCCTATGTTGGGAAGAAATGGTCCTATTTTTAAAGTTTTTCTATGCTCTACCCCTATTTTGAGCAATTTCATTTCAATAATAATGCAACCTAATGGGCTTTTGAACAGTACCTCTGAGTCCACAATGTAGGGCGCATAAATTTTGCATTTTCAAAGTCTCCATCTTCAAAACCAGGAGAGGAACCAATCTAGATTAGAAATAAAATTTCAATTAGCTTGTTTTAAATTGACTCTTAACCCCTCTGTCTCATAATAAACTTATCCCATGGTGTGGGCATGGAAATTAAGAAAGTAACATTGTGTGGTTGAAATTTATTTAAAATATAGAAATAATATCAACCAAAACCAGAATGGGAATTTATTTCAAGACAGATGGGAATTTATTACTAAGTATTTATTATTGATTAACAATGTACTTCAACAAGCATATTCATACAAAGTCTTGAATTCCTCCATGAGCATCAAATACAATTATCCGGTGGTGATTACTGTCAGATATATAAATGTGATCTCCAGACTGATCAACTGATATACAACCTACAACGAGACCAATAACAAAGTTTTTGATATGTTTAAGAAAAAATAATGTAAAAACTTATGATCTCGGTCATCAATGATTTAAAACTATTACTTTTTTCTATGTTCAAGTAATGGCAATATTAAGATAGACTCCACCAGGCACCAATCAATATAGATAAATTAAAATTTGTGTTTTCTTCTGTTCAACTAAAAGGCAATATTATTAAAAACAAATAATTACAACAGATTACTCCATGATTATTCAAGTAAAACCTAACTACTGTTAATTGGATTGGATATTTTCAACAAGAAAATTTCTTCTCATTAAAATTTGGTTTGAACAGTTTAATGGAGCTTATAGTGTAGTTCTTGAAAATTTAAGTTTATATGACTAACTAAATGTTAGAAGTTATTACAATTGAACTACTATCAATTTTTCTAAAAAGTCTACGATTTGAGATGGAGAAGGGAATAATAAATTATCATTTTCAATAATTTTTTTGCAAAGTTTACAGTGTGCTGGTCAATGTTATAGTAAGTCCCTGTGGTTCTTTTTATGACAAGTAAAAAAGAATGAAGAACTAAATCATAAGGTCCTAGAGAAATATACCTGGGAAATAAAGAAATAAATTCTGTAATGGAATACAAAGATATGGTTCATTGAATACTTCGAGTGGTTTTATCCAAGGACTGTTCATATTACGCGTGAAACTATGAGTCGTCCTCTGCTGCGCTTTCAAATCCTTGATGACTGTCAACGTGAAGCAGAAAGAGAAAAGTAAATTTATTAGTAAGATCAATGGGGATAATAGAATACATCAATGAACAATACTGAACATAAATCTAAAAAGAAACATTGAATAAATAAATTATACTTTTTCCTATTAAATATGGGAATTTATAAGGTATATTTGTGAGAGGTCTACTGTGCAAGTCTGCTTTTTTTGTTTGAGCATGACACATGACATTTATAGGTGGGTTGTACCCTACAGCCCATATCTATTAGCTAAATTTGATTGTCATATCAACGTGGAAGTTTGTGCGGGGATAAAGAGTGTGAAATATATATACAAAAAAAAAATACAAAGGGCATGACAGAATTGCTATTAACCTCTCCGTCGAAAATGACGCCAACGTAATTGATGAAATCGAGGAGTATCAAAAGGCACGGTGGGTATCACCGCCCAAGGCAGCATGAAGAATCTACAGCTTTTCTCTCTCGGAAATTATACCGTCTGTTATACACTTGCCGGTGCACTAAGAAAATTATCAATACATGAGATTTGGCAAACGCCAAGACATAACGGAAATTGTAGATTCTGAACACAACTCTCAAACCATGCTTACTCGATTCTTTTCCATGAATCACTCCGATGAAACCACCGCCAGGTTGAACCTCCTATACATCCACTTTCCCGAGTATTACGTATGGTCAACCAAAGATAAAAAGTGGCACCCAAGACAAAAACGGGAGGTTATAGGACGGCTTGTGAGTGTGAATTCAACCGAAGGGGAGAGGTACTATTTGAGAATTTTGTTGATGAATGTGAAATCACCGCAGTCATATGAGCATATAAAAACAATTGGGCAATACATTGCTGCCACGTTTAGAGAAGCCGCCGAGAAACTTGGGTTGCTACAATGTAACCAAGACATTGAACACTGTCTTGAAGAGGCCACGTGTTGGCAAATGCCAACCACTTTTCGCAGGCTGTTTGTGACAGTCTTGGCTTTTTGTGATGTTGTTAACCCAAAATCGCTCTGGCTGCAGTTCAAGGCACACCTTTGCGAAGACCTGATCAGTTTTTGTCCAGATATATCTCAGGCGGAACACAAATGCCTACTGTATTTGAATGACCTTCTTTTGTGCCTGGGAAAAAATATCAATGACCTAGCAATTGTTTCATATCATGTTGGCATTACAAAAGAGCAACGAGTTCAAAAAGAAATCCTGACAGAGAGAAGTCTGTTGCCAACGGATTCTGATATTGCCGCGATTGCAAAAATGAACACCGGCCAGAAGTCCGCATTCGACACTATAATCAAGCGTGTTTACTCTGACAAAGGCGGACATTTTTTATCGATGGTCTGGGGGGGCACCGGCAAGACTTTCCTATATAGATAGATGCCTTCTAGCAAAGGTACGGTCAAATCGTGATATTGCCCTTGCCACAGCAACTTCAGGAGTTGATGCATCTCTATTGCCGGGCGGCCGAACAGCACATTCACGTTTCAAAATCCCAATTAATGTGGAAGACAAATTTGTTTGCAACATAGGAAAGCAAAGCGCAGAAGCATCATTAATACGTGATTGCAAACTAATTTTAAGGGATGAGGCTACGATGGAAAATCGGAGAACTGTAGAGAATGTCGAGACGACTTTGCGGGATATCACAAATTGTGAAAAACTCTTTGGGGACAAGGTCATGGTTTTTGGCGGGGATTTCCGGAAAACATTGCCTGTGATTAGATGCGGCAGAAAGAAAGATTTCATTGAAGCGAGCTCGGTCAATTCTCATGTCATATGGCCCTTCAATGAAAGGTTAGTCTTAACCGAAAACATGAGAGCGATATCCGATCCAGGCTTCAGTGATTACTTAATGAGAGTAGGCAATAGAATTGAAACATATGTTTCTGAATCAACAATTTCTATTCCACAGCATTTTCTCATTCCCTACACCGGCGATAAAGAGTCCTTGAATGCACTAAACACCATGTGTATCCTGATATGTCAAAGTTTTGTGACGACCCGTACCCACCGATGCGCCGGGTATCCTTACCCCAAAAAATGAGTACGTCGAAAATTTGAATGGCATATTAATCCATCGATTGCCCGGGGAAGAGCGGTGCTACGTTACGTACGATGAGTTGCTCGATTCCAGCACATACAATGAATACGGTGATTTCCTAAACACCATTTGCCTACCCGGTTTACCCCCCATAAATTGGTACTCAAGAAAAACTGTCCGGTGATTTTGCTTAGGAATCTAAACCCAGCAGATGGCCTATGCAACGGCACGCGTTTGATATGCCACGAATTTTGTGACCATGTCATTAGTTGTTCCATAGCATCTGGTGAACATGTGGGAAAACATGTGTTCCTGCCAAAAATACATCTCCAACCATCAAGCGATGACAACTATCCCATACCATTTAAGCGTCATCAATTTCCTATCAAACTATGCTTTGCCATGACGATAAATAAGTCTCGAGGGCAAACATTTGACTACGTCGGCGTATACCTAAGGGAACCAGTTTTCTCGCACGGCCAACTGTACGTTGCAATGTCAAGAGCGCAACGAGCAAAATGTTTAAAAATACTTATATGCAACAAAGATCGCCCATGCGAATCAAATTGGACACACAATGTAGTGTATCAACAAATATTAAATATCGCTACCCGTTGTACAGTGAACAAAGGTGAACCATACAAATTACAATCACACTTTCCCCATATTCATTTATATCTATATATATATATATATATATATATATATATATATATATATACACACATAACTTTACGTTAACCAAATACGTATTCTATTTTCAGGACCTGTTCAATGGCAACAATGCACCGATTAGTTGATGTGACGCCTGAAACACCCATGTGGGCATGTGAGGTTCGTGTTGCTCATAAGTCTGCACCTAAGCATAACCCAACAATTGGGAAGAGACGCCTACATATGTTCCTTGAGGATAAGGAAGTAAGTCATATCTTATAAAGTGCTTAATTGCTTATGATTGTAAATATACCAAATGTAAATGCTTCTTCCTCACTGCACTGCCACGTACTTTACAAAATTTCATGAAAAATTACTCTGCATTTACTTTTTATGAAATATGATTACTTATTGAGATAGCTACAAACATACTTATCAAATTTAATACAGAGTTTTTAATTTTCCAAAAAATAAACAAACACTCAGATTGGAGTTTTATTCGTACACGTTTCTTAAAGAATCCATAAAAAGAGAGAATCACTACATGATTGTAAATATATAATTCGTACATTTCATACTTCATCACACATATGATCAATTTGAACAACAAACTGAACAAATTTTATACGGGAGTTCAACATAGAGAATTACGAGGTCTACAACATAGAGAATTAGGAAGTTTACTTCAGCCAAAAAACTACTCCCCGATTCTTTAATGAGTGTTAATTGGTTCTACCTCCAATTTAGACACCATAATTTTAAAATTAAGTATGGCTGGAAAAGTAGGCAAAGTGGAGAAATTTTGTTAGGGACAATAGGCTTAGTGAGGCCAAACAATGTTGTTTCTAGTGTACATTTAGGTAGCAATAAGCCAGCATCCCTCTCCGGGTGTGAACCTGATCTGAGTTTCTACACTATTAAACTTTTTATCCTTCTTACTAGTCTAAAACATATTTGAAAAATTATTAATTTAAACTATTTAAATAATCATGGTATAGCTACTCGAGTTACTCTATTTATTGTACCCATTTGGAATCTTGGATACTATATCAATTCATTGGGTGCTTTCTAACCGAGTTTTGAATCTAATAGCCCATTGTCCAAATTGGGACAAAAATGCAACTACAAGCCATTAGTCAAATGTGCAGTATTGTGAGGATCCATTCTTTTGCTGATAAAAAGAAGTTTATTTTCCATACTACCTTCCAGGCATCTCATGAATTATTTATATGCCTATTCTAGCACCAGGTTTTGCTTGAGCTTCTCAAACTGTTATTAGCACCCTAATTAACATGGTTTTCCAAGAATTTCTTGTCCTTCACCTTATTTAGAGTTGCAATTTCAAAACAAAACTTTAAACTCATTTTTGTCCTAACCATTTTTCTCCTAATCAATAAAACAAATTAAATATTTACAAAATCCAAACATAGTATAAATTAATGACATCCTTGAAATACCATGTTATACATTTAGTTGACGAAATTCCAAATTTCCAACAAATTAATTTTACAGATATTCTATACTTCTTCCATCCTTATTTAAATCACTACTAATAATAAAAACTTACAAATTAGATGCTACTTTAATGTTCTAAGGAACCGCAAAAAAACTGTATCCGAATATTGTAAAACTTCTGAAATAGATTATACTTCACTATTTTCTTCTCCTAGCTTTCCCAGTTCTAACCAGACCCCTAAATTCCAGTGAGATAACGGAAAATATATACCTCTAATGTGGGAAGACGCGAAGAAATTTAGCTAACAGAATATAGCTTTGAAAAGGTGAATATTTTGTTATACACACAATGTTTGAACCGAGCACAATATGTTAAAGAAAGACCATATGAAATGTCCATGGATTTATGGTTGATCACTAAATAATCACTATCATTGTTTCTGCATGTTCTTTTAAAGTATTGTTTTTCATATCAATTGTTAAAAAAGGCCATTATGAAATGTCCATGTTATGTTTTTGTGATTTTTATTGCTTAAAATATTTTCAGGGCATACGCATCTCAGCCATGGTATTTCACCACGACGTAGAGATGTATGATATGACTATGAAGCTCAATTCATCTTATCACATCTCGAACCCTAATGTTCGCGTACCACAGAACTCCTACAAAGTGGCAGATATGAGGTATGAGTTCACATGGGTTCTCAATCGTAGAACAGCTATTCAACCATGTGAAAATGAAAATGAAGCTGAAGTTTTTGAGACTAAAAGGGTCTCCAGATTCAGTGACCTATATTAGCACATGAAGACTGGGCAGCACATATGTAAGCAACATTGCCTGTATACACAAATATCACGCACTCACATTAAACAAGCTGAAATATATATTACAACTTACAAGGTTAAAATTCCTTACATTACGTATTATTACAAAATTGTATATTGAAGTCTATTTATATCATTGTTAACATTGTAGCAATGGTTGTTGTTGTATTTGATAAACTTCCAAGAGAAACCCAGTCGACTTCAAATGGTGTCCGGTCTATCAAGGATTTCATTGTGGTTGATGAACTGTAAGTATGACCAATGATTAATCTTATTATATTGTTGAAGTTATTTGCAACATCATCACTCATACAAATCCATCACAATTCCAAAAGACTGAAATCGGTGCAATTCACACTTTGGGATGAGATGGCGCTAACTGAAAAAAAGTATCCTATAGTGAGCCTAGAAGACATTAAGGCTACCGACTTCAAAGGTACTATTATAACCCTATAACGTATATTACATAATCGCACCAAGTACTAATTTTGCTCTTAATACATAGGGATATCTTTGACTTCAATGTCTCATTCAACAATCACTCTCAATTCCGATTTGCCTCGTGTTGCAGAATTGGAGAAATGGTAATGTCTACCTTCTGTAATTATATGGTAATCATATAAGGTTCTAAGTGTTCTTTAATTTGGTGCTTTTTATTGGTCATCATTATGGATCTCTTTATGAAAATTGTTCTAGGGATCCTAATCATGTTGAATATACATTAAATACAATATGGATGCTAATTACATAGTTTAATTTGCAGAATCTTCCTCTATTGATTCTTTTTACATACATAAGGGCTACTTCCATAGTCTTTTCATTCTGCATACTCATAACCATTCTCGGTTCAATGAGCTGCCGAACTATGATAATTTATTTATTTATGAATTTATATAATATTTTGGAGAAAAAACTATTACGCTCATAAATTAGGACAATGAATAAGTTATAGTCTCGTGATTAATATTCACTTAAACCAAGTTATTTTTCAATACAAAAATAATAATTTCTTTGACTCAATAAGCTAGGTCACACTTTTTTTATCCAGTTTTGGTTCTTTCACAAATTTTGAGAATTTAGCGACTTTCTATTATCAGACAGCCACAATGAGATATAAACACATTCTGTCTCATATGCAATGAAAGATAGAGGAATGTTTGTGTTTGATTCTTATTAGGAGAAGTGATTTAATTGAGAGATTATACGAAGTGATTAATAATAAAGTTGGTGATGTGAGAAAATAACGTGATTTCAAGATAATATTACAAGTTAATGTTTGATTATAAATACATTTTTATGTAATACAAAAAGTGAATATGAGATGAAAAATGTTTCAAAAATATAAATAATTTGGAAAAAAGGTTTTGTTGTTAAATTCTTCGAATAAATTGTTGAGCGTGAATATGCACACCATTCTTTCCCCTTTTAACGTTACGGGAATTTGTTGTATCTACATATATGCTTATAACATGTGAATGATTAAGATCAACCTACGTGTAGGGCTATTGACCACAAGTCCACCCTCGATGCTGTGAAGGCTGGCCGCGAGTTCTTGAATGGTGGCTTCCACCTAGCAAATCCTGACAACGAAACAATCACTCCAATAGCTAAAGTCCCTGCTATCATTCCTCAAGTATGTTGCTATTATATACTTTATTATTCCTCCCAATGCCTATATGACATGTTTTTTCTAATAACCATTTACATTGTAAAAAACATTGACGGCGTATGAAATAAATCACCCAAAAATTTATGTAACCCATGATATAAATTACTTCAAATCCATTACATTTCTGTGGCTTATCCATTCTAATATGTGTAATCCATAAACACTGACAGGGAAGGCCTATTTGGATCAAAGGCACAATCACTTTGGTTTTAGAAAACTATAACCTCTGATATGTTGCTTGTACCATTGTGCCAAATTAAAATACGCTGGTTGTGACGCAATATTTCACTGCATGAATTGCGGTCAACAACATGCTTATGATGTTCCAAGGCAAGTACGCCATTTGTATTACACCATACAACATAAGTATACGTCATTTTCCTCAAAAAATCATACTAAATCCTTCGCGCAGGGCCAAATTACATATCACAATCGAAGATGGGACATGATCTGTCAGTGGAATAATGTTTGGCTTGTGCGCTGAAAAGTTATTGCTTATGACAAGCAGGCAAGTCATGGAAATAGAATCACAGGTAACATCATCCACAATACCGTCCAATTAAATTATCGTTTAATGAAACCAAATATATTTGTTGTTTGAATTTGTTTTTTGCATTTGTTTACTATTGTCAAAAACATTAACTACATTGTAAAATTAATTAAAAATGTCATCCAAAGCTTTATTCGCCAACTCTATGCCATAGATTTTTTAACAAAATCATCAAATGAAGCATAATCTCTTATGGAATTTGGGTCCTGTAGAAATATAAATAGTATACACATTGTCATTTGTCAAAGTCTAATTTTCTACTAGATTTAAATGTTATATGAAACCACTCATTGAAATTCTTTTGTACTTGGTAGGGGAGAAAAAGTTTCATTCCCATACATAAACAAGTCCCTTGCTAAGGAAGAGTACATAGTCCAGTTGAGGTTTTCGCAAGACAATTGGAGTTCAAAAAATAACTATCCTCATAGTTCAAAGACATCTTATATCATAACATCTTTGCACGAGTCTTCATTGCACATAATAAAGATGGATGAAGCAAATGTCGCCGATCACACTACACCCAGTGAAAGCACAACCACTTCAAGTCCTCCAATGAAACGCATCAAAACAGTTTGACGGAGAGTACACAACCATCCAAACCATTCAACGACTCACAAAACTGTGTTATTACATTCAAGTACTTTCATTTTTGCGGTACTATGTTCCATTTTGATTTTTGAATGTTATCGCTCCTGCAACCATAAACTTATTTTCCCATGATACACTACTAAGCTTGTTTCCATGATACGATATTATGTCTATTTCTTCTCATTTTAATAAATTACACACTAATAATGAAATCATGAAATTTTCATTATTCTATTTGGGAGTTCTATTTCAATGTTATTTCAAAAGGGAATGCATGTTGTACACACACTGCCACACAAACATTATCATTTTCCCCTAGCATATATCCCAAGCACCCCTTCTTACACATTGGCCATTATCCCTATTATAAAAACGCATTGGGCACAATCTCCATATTTTATGACATTTTTAATTTATCTAACATGCATATTGTTCAAAAGCATATGACAATAAGAATCTTAAAATGCTTAAAAATATTGTGAATGAATTGTGATTGAACTAATTAAATTCCTCAGAGGGATTTCATAATAGAAAACATGGGGTAAGAGAACATTAAATTTATTGAATGGCTTTCCAAGTGATTTTATTGCATTCAACGCCTAAAATAAAATTGACCACTATAGCAAAAAGAAGTTTTACAAGGATGAAATTACTAAACTTCCACTTACAATCAAGCATGTAACAAGTGATAGGGTATGTTGACACAAGTAGTTGAAAAGATACTTTTTTGAACTTTTTAATAACTACTCGTATTAGCTTTTATTAACTGAAAAGATCTTAAAAGAAAATGTAGTAATTGTTTGATAAAAAGCTGACTATATCATTTAATTCTGTTTTGGAACACAATCTATTTTGACTAATTAATGCTAAAAATTACATACTTTTTTCAAATGTTACTCGGTGTAATTTCTTAAAAAAGATCTTTTATTTTGATAAAAGCTCTAAAAATTTGTCATACCAAACATATAATTAGAAAGTGGTAATGGCTGGCTAGAAGATACGGATTTATGTTTGCCGAACATGCTGATAATCAGTGATTGACTCTGTATCAATAAAACTTGAAGCACTGATAGAAATGTACATTAAAGATTGGTAGACAATTTTGCATCTAAATATAAAATATGGAAGAAGAATGTTTCTTTTCATGTCAATTCTTAAATGTATTTTTAAGATCGTTTTTATTATGACAAAAATTTTAACACTCCGTAGTAGATAATGCAACACTTACTTTTTGTTGGACAGACCTTGTACAGTTGTACCTCTAATCAGATCCACACGTGGCACCGTTAACACAATGTTGTCATTAAATTAATAATTTTGGGACTTCATAAATAGTTGTAAGTATTGCGCGAGGTACAAAATTTTAACTCGCAAAAATGTTCCGTATAAAGGACCGCAAGTGTGAGTTGGGAGCTCACTAAGCTATAAGAGTTGTACAAAAGAAAAAAGAGAGCCAAATAGAACATAGTAACAAATGACATGAAGTGAAGAAGACAGACAAACACATTATGAGCTGTTGAGTAGAGTCTGGATGGATTCAAAGAAAAGCGGAGACATTTCAGGGTTAGGAGTCTTGGTTGCACACTTAACACCGGGATTCCCAACAGTTGTTGTGAGTTCAATCAAGAACGGGATTTCTCGGGGGATCTTTGCTGAAAGATACAACACGTCTTGGTTTCTATTCTTCCGCCTTGCAATGAAAAACACATTGGATGCCGCTAATCCGTCTAGGGTAGCTTCCACGCTCTTTACAACCAGTTCTGGGAAGTCAACTGATCTCTCATTTGAATCAGGCAATGATTTCCACTTCTGCAAAACAGACGGGAAGAAGATCTATAAGCCTTCCTGATTATCATTAACTAGTTGTGCCAGAGAACAAAGCACACTTGTTATGCATGCACAGATACTAAAACGACATGTGAATAGTTGCTGAAAAAATGGTTGATACCAAATAAATTGGACATTTATTAGATGCGGAGTAAGTGGCATTAAAAATACAATCCTTCATAAGATAAAGTGAACTTTTTGTTTGAAAATGTGAGGAAGTGAAGAGTTTACATTGTATGGTTTGGTTAATTAATGTAACCGTAAGACAATTTTTTAAAACATTTTGCACTGTACCTTAGTGAAACCTTTTACTTGGGACTTGGGAGTGTGTAAAATACTTTACATGGTTAATATAGCCTTTGCGTGTAAATTAAGAATAGATTACTCACCTCATGAAATTGTGTATTCATATTTTAAATGTGAAATGATTGCCTGTATACATTTTACATATGACATTTTAAATGCAAATTTTAGCGTGTAAACTGTAAAGTACCAAACACCCCCAATAATCAAACATAGAAAGCTGCGCTCCAAAAGTTGTAAATTGAATGATGTGATGTCGCGGTTAAAAACCATGAACTAATAGTTGACTTATCAAAATTTCTATGAAAATATTTCACTTTTTGTCCGACGACTGATCTCTCATTTGAATCAGGCAATGATGTCGCACATACACCCTAGTACATGTTCCTCGAGGCTGAGGACATCCCCCAAGAGCGGGAGAGCTCGTGACATTTCTTATTGACTGTCTTTTATTTCTAATAAGTTGTTTAATAGTTGGCATCTTGAATCTATTATATTATATAATGGGCTGGTTTAGATTAATCCGAACCGAATGATGCTGAATTCCCACATGATGCATGATTATAGATTTCTTGTAACATTTGGTTCTTCCGATCACTTATCTGACCAACTTTCAGTTGATTTTTTGCCAAATGAGTTATCAGAAGGACCGAAAGTGCTAAAAAGTCTATATGCACTAAAAATGGAAAAAATGGAGTTTGTGAATGAAACTGAAAATGGCTTAAAAGTAAAGGGACCAAGAATGGAATAGTCTAGTTTATATTATTATTACTCCATATGTCCTATAGTTCTTTCCACAATGACTTTGCACGCTTACTAAAAAATGGAATTGTATGGTTGAGATTTATTTTGTAGAAATGAAAGAAACAATACCAATCACACATCTCTTTTATTGAAAGAAAAATAGGATGAAAATTATGGGACAGAGGAAGTACCTCAACTTGTAAATGTTATTAATCATACTATCATGTTTCATGTATCTGGTGTTTTAGAATTCTCATTTGAAAGATAGAACAAATAACGAGGCATAATTATTGCATGCTATGAACTCATCATCTTGTACAAATTACAAGACAAGCCACATGTAAGAAAACTAATGCATTGAGATCTGACAAACTTTTTACCTCAAGAAAAGTGGAACGCTCCATTTTGCCATCCTCAGAACACAACAAGTGCAACAAGATCTTATCTTTGAAGTACCACACTGGCTGTTGATTGTTTTTCACGGCAACCTGCAAAAGTGTGCTTGGAGGGCCTGGAGATAAGTTTTGGAATGCAACCATGGGCAGCATAGTACTTGCAGATGTCCCTGGTGGCAATTGAGATACCTATCAAAGCTAAACTTGTCAACATCTAATGCCAAACTGGATGAAAGACACGAATGAAAAGTGTAAATTGTCAACATCTAATGCCAAACTGGATGAAAGACACGAATGAAAAGTGTAAACTGTCAACATCTAATGCCAAATTGAACTAAAGACATCCAATGAAAATTGTCAAAATGTCACTAGAGTTCAAACTAGAAAACAATACTCCCTACATACCAAACAAAATTCATGTTTGAAAAAATATTTGTCGCGAAATACAGAGTAGTTTCAAAAGTAAACTTTAATTTTTTTAATAAAATATCTATAAACCAAGAGAGCACTTTTAATCAAATTACTCCAAACAGACGTGGAAAACAGTTTTAGGGGTTAAAGTGACAATTCACAACTTGTTTTGTATCTTACTCAAATAAGAAACTTTCATTTGGGATGGTGGGTCGGTGGGGGTGATAGTATAGGGGTAAATTGTTATTTTAATCCCTGAGTTATGCAGCATTAGTAATTCTAGTCCCTCGTTAGCATTTGTAAAAATCTCCATGATTGTGTACCCATGGGTAGCCATTTGTCCTCCAACAATAGCACTTTCAGCATAGTTAACTTTTGATTCTGCACCCCTAGGTTGCCTTTTTGTAAATAACATCCTGAGTGTGTACCCATCCGTTTCCATTTTAGTTCTCCAACTGCCACTGTAGCAATTTTACTTATCCATTCTAGACGGAGTTGACAGGAAGAACTGAAGAAGAACTAAAACCGCCACCAATGGGTACAAAAACCATTTGCATAAGTTAACTAGGGACTACAACTACTAATTACTAAAGTTGCATAAATAAGGAGCTAAAAACGATAATGCACAGAATAAAATTGAAATATGAAAAAAGTTGATAGAGGAGCGGTCAATTTATTAGAAGTTGGATACAATTTACCTGGAGTGGACCAGCAGCTGCAAGGCCAAATGTATTCTTATTGAACTGAATCATGAACCCATCAAGTGGCATCTGGGAGTTGTTCTCAAACAACATGCTGTAAAAGATCTGGCCGTCTCTACGGATCATCTGAGCACTGATTTGTAAACCTTGACCAGTGGATGCTGGTAATAAAACAGGTAAAGAGGGTCTGCAAACAAAAGCATCACTTTAGAGTATATTACCAGTCAAATTTTGCAATATTCAGGAATATATAACACCCCTAAAATGTAAAAAACGCTTCTAAACTAATTTACTCATGTGTTTTCTGAAAACAATAGATATACCTAGTGGGAGTTGCAGGCTGATCAACCGACACAATAGCATTGTCGTTACTTTCAATTCCCAGGTCAAGCAAGTCAGGCAAGGCTGAGGGAGCTGCAGAAGTGGGACCCGATTGCTTTGAAGCAGGATGAGCACTACTGTCAACTGAATAGCCAGGTGAATCAGAAGGCCTGGATTCACTCCCCTCAGGATATTCATCATCATCCGTTCTCTGAACGGTCTTCACTTGAGTAACAAAAGCATCTGGAGGCTTATGAAAGACAGAGGATAAAGTTGCAATATTCAAAAGGAGCTCATCAAGAAGAGAAGGGTCAAGTTGGTTTGAGTCATCAGTGATAACTGGTTTTTCGCCTAACACAACATCCTTTGCAGCCTGCAAGATGTAACCCAAGCCTCCTTTAAGAAGATATCATATGAGACTAAAGTCCTTTCAGATTAATGAGCAATATACTTGATAAGCACAATAATAGGTAATTATATTAATCCGTACATGTACATATCAGGACTTACGTGTAACGGAAACCACGTTCTCATTGTCTTAACCGAAGTCGGGAATATATAAGCAACATCGTATTCATAATAACAGGCAAAGAACTGATATTACACTCTAGTAAACGTTTAGAAGAATGCCGATATCTTAGTAATCCTTGCTCTTACATTTTAATCCAATATCAAAAGAAATTTGTGCAGCTTATATTAATTTATATATTTTGTATCTAAATCCCGAACTCTATAAAATCAAATGTTTCCCTGTGGATCGTCCTGGTATATACCGTTATTTATTACTACAATCGGCACTTGTATATTTGTAAGTTTAGCGTGATCGGAGGGGCGTAGCTCACCTGGTAGGAAGAGGGTGTCAGGTTCAACTCCAAGCAAAGACTTGGGATGGAACTTCACTCTCTTTCCATCAGTGTGTGATCAAAGCTCAATTTAGTGTGTGATCAAAGCTCAATTTACATCCTTCCAGATAACTGTCCGGTCAGTTCTGTGGGGCCCTCAGGGATGGTGCGTCATCCTTTTTTTGTAAGTTTAGCCCGATCAATCTTTTAAACTAATGTATTTTGGTTATAGGGGAAGAGAGGAAATGTCTCAATTCCCTCCTATAAGATTGCATAAGGTAGTGCAATTACCTTCAAAAAGATAATGAGAAACTATGGAATTGTAAGATTACTTGGGTAATGGAGATATGAAAGTATATTTTGGGGCATTTCTATGGAAATTTCGATATAAATAAAACAAAACCATATTTGGGGGAAGATATGGAGACCAAGGTAATCAAATGACCCCCCCCCCCCCAATATTACCTCATTTTCCTATGTAGCAGTAACATGAGTCTGGAAGCTCGAACCAAACAAGGTAATCTTACATTACTTGCATATGAATATCTTAATCCTTAAGAGGTTTCTTGGTAAGACAAAAAGTTAATAATTTGCATGCAAAATATTGGAATGTGAAGACTAAAGAGTTTACATCATTTGGTTTGATTATTTAATCTAAATTGTGGGACACTTTTTTAAAATATTTTACATGAGAGAGTAGTAAAATACTTTACATGCTTAATATAAAGCAGTGCCATTAATTTGCACGTAATTTAAAAAAAAATGTGCACTTAACCAAACAGTGTATTTTTATTTTACATGCAAAGTGATTGTTTCCCTAAACTTTGCATGCAATCATTTCTCCCGGAAAGCTTTAATGTGCAAACTACCAAACAAGCCCCCAAGACTCAAACCAAACAAGGTAATCTGACGTTAGCTTTTCGTAAAATCAATACCTTTCTAAGGTGACCTCAGATAACATGAACCAACTGCCTCTTAAGAGTGAACTGTAACTAATTTACATTGTCTCGTTACTAAATATCAAAATGCATGTTGACATCAAATCTTTAAGAAAATGTTTAAACTTGTAAGGAATAAGAGAAATGAATAACCAAAACTTCTAATTAACAACACAGAAATTTCATAGATGGTGCTGTTTCTGAACAAGATGAGGTATGAAGGCCAAATTTAGTGCACAACTAACAATAAATGTTTCAATTATGCTACCAGACATAAGGAGTTTGTGACTTCCATGAGAAATTCAAAGAGTAAAAAATGATAAATTGAAACATAGATAATCATAGCATTAAAACAGATAGAAAAATCCCATGCACACCTCAGGATCGGTAGAAAGAAGGCGCCAATATATGTATGCCCGATCTCTCAAATCTGGATTGTCCGTCTCCACAGTTGCATTATTGAGGACAACCTACAAGTGAAAATATGTCAAATATTTGAGAATTTCATTACACTGAAATATTAAAAGTCCTTTCTCCCCTGCAATGAAACCAAACATGCACTTCCATGTTGGTCGTTTATGTCTGTTGATCAAATCAAATAACGATACTTCAAATTAGCCTATTAAATGAGTTTAGACCATAACTGAAACAAAACATTCAAAAACTGTGAATAAATAATGCAGTGCACCTACAACAAGGTAGCTCACGAGAAAAAAATTGAAACATAATCAAACACAAGGCAGAAACATAGTTAAGAATTGGATTATTTCTCTAGATGTCCTGTTCTTTCCAGAAACATATTCAAGCCAAATCAAGTAGAATGTATTACACATCATTCTAGTAGCAGGTCTTAAGTGATAGCTTCTTGAAAACGAATTGCAGATGGTTCAGGTGCGAACCATTTTTAGAAAATACTAAGCAATGCACTCTTTTTGGACATAGGCTTGGATGATGTTGTTGTACTAAGCAATGCAACTACAGTCATGTTCCACGATGACATGATGTGCATATTGGTTTTACAATAACAACTTTGTAACAGGAGTACAGGACATGATGATCACTGCTACCTCATGATATGCAAGTTCAAAAACATATGCTCATAACGATTTTGAAATTTCAACTCTTATGCCTTCATAAGAAAGTTGGGACAAGGGTATCTAGCTTAAAACTTTGCCTCTGCTTTTCTGCATGTGTTAATAGCGTTGACAAAATTTTAAAGTTTTAACATTAATTAACACTAACTTTCATGTTGGTTTAAGGTTATGATGATAACCATGATGAAGCAATGCATCTAGCGAGGTCAAAGTAAAAATCAGTAATACCTGAATCATCTGTTGTGGGCCTTCAGTTGGCTTCTTGAGGAAGAGTTTAACTGCTGATGTCAGTAACTGCAGCTGGACTTGTGGAGGTTCCTCAGGAAAACTCTCTAAAAAGCTCTCCAGGAGTTCATCTGCATTGTCAATCCTCTCCGCATATTCGCCAATAATCCAGATCATTGATGCCTGTCACTAATAATGAAGTTAGCTGAAAAAAGTACACAGTATTTTGAGTGAGTAGACATCCCAAAAGGAAGAAATGTTAAGACAGCTGAACAGTACCTTTGCTTCAGGCTCATCCAAACTGTCCAAACTCTCACAAAGTGTAGCTATGATGGACTCATATCTAAACGAGAGAAGACACAGATGGCCTCGGTAAGTTAGTACTCGATAATTATTCAAGGCTATATAATAATTATATAAAATCTAGGAAAATATGGTGCTGAAACATACGTGTTAGGATATCTTCTGAAGATGTCTTTGATTACTATAATGGCTTCTTGAACAACATAGTTAACTTTTATTTTGATCAACTCAAGCAACACACTGATGCAACGCTCAGCTGCTCTCTCCAATTTAATTGCACAACGTCCAATGGCACGTACGGCTTTCCTAACAAAATCAACATCTACTTCAGTAGCATATTCCTTGAACTCCAAGAGAACCTGCAAGAGATTTTTCTTGAGAACAGACATAACAAAAACTCAGAAGAGAGCAGGTTAACTCCAAAGGAAGTGTGTTCACCTGGTCTATATTTCGGTCTGATGCAAGCTTTATCATGATTTCTAACTTCTCCATCTTCACATAAATTGGATCATTGTACTTGCAAAAGAACACCTACAGGAAAAGCAAGAAACGGCGTTGTGAGAGCACATTTATTCCTGGGACAATTGCAGAAAGCACTAAGCATCTTTCCTAAGTAGAGAGATATTGCAGCAATAGTAAGCACACATTGTAACCTTAATTTCATGGGCAAGAATTGTAGGCCGTTTTTGTACAATGAGGTTTATATTCCTCAATGCCACATATTGAATCTCAGGTTCTGCAGAGAGCAATGTCACAAGAGGAGGAGCCATTTTTTTACAGAGATTCCGAACTACATCGGTGCTGATAATGAGTTCCATCTGTTGAAGAATCAACTGCATTTCCACAAAAAGATGGAGTTAGCAGGATTTCCGTTATAAAACGAGAGGAAAATGTAAATGACTCATGATGAGTATGAAAGAAAGGGATTGTCTCATAATCGCTTTGAAAACATTGGAGCCTGAACTTTAATATATTGTTCTCATAATGTAAACACAACAGACATTGTTTTTTTGCATGACTTTTAGTGTAAACTAATTTCAGACAATCAATTGAATACAAACTTCATGCCACCAGCCCCAATTGGGATTAAGAAACTGCTGATAACCATGGTAATGATTCTATAACAATATGCATGAAGGAGAACTCAGATGCCAACACTAAAAAGCAGACTCCGCAGTAAACCACTCATGCAAATAATAAAGAGTGTCACCTTAACAGCTGAAAGCACAACTGCACAATTTGCATGCTGCAATCGTGGAGTAACTCTCTCAACTATGTTTTCGGCTTCACGAGCATCGCTTGCTTTGTACTTAGTAAGGGCATCCAATATAAAGACTTGACCCCACCTACAAATGATCAGCATTCGTATTAGAGTGAAAATGTACTGCACTTCATGTCTTCTTCACTTTTATCTTGGGGGGGATAAGGCTGTAAGTGAGCCAAATGCTTAGTCAGCTTTTCGTGTCTCGCTTCATCAAAAACAAATGTTTAATTTTGTTAACAAACTGACTAGAGCCTCCATAGTGACATTTTGAGCTCGTCAATTTTAAGAAACGAACTCCAGCCCTGCATTGTTTGGCTTGGCTTGAAAGCTTGCTTGCCTTGCTAACATTATTTTGTAAATAGATCCGTTTCAAAAACACTTGTTAGTGGATTTGTTAATACTAATTATTTTTATTTTTACACGCATATAAAAATTAAAAAAAAACATATGTATCTAACATTCTAAAGTAAATAATTTTTAGCTTTAGCTGAAATTTTCTTTTAGTTCTCAATGAGTTAAGCTCAAAGCCTCAAGCTTCAGGTCGTTATACAATACAAACAAATCTTTCACAAACCTAACTCGAACTGTTCAGGAACTTTATATGTTGGCGTCTTGGTGACAAAACAAGCTATAACTGAAGAATAAAATTGGAATGGAACTCAAAGGAGGACTGTAACAAACTTTTGAATCTGGTTATATAACTGAAAGATACATGCTGAAGTGCTGAACAACTAGTACTTGAACAAGTAGGTAGCCAAGAGCATTAGATTTGGTGACGCAGTCCTTTTTCAGCTGTTAAAACACTACCAATTCTGTAAGAACTCACTCTGTGCATTCATTTAGAGCGGTAAGAAGCTTTGATAGTGTGTGGGTGGTGATCTCAAATATGGGTCTGCCACTGCTCTCTTGAATTTCTGCAAGTGCTGCAACAGCATTTGCAACAACCATAGGATTATTATCAGATATGAGATCCATGAGAGCTTCTAGGAAACCTCTATCCTCAACAAGCTCAGCATTTATGTCATAAAGTTTAGCAACACATATAGCTGCCGTCTTCCGAACATATGGATCATCATCCTGATGAAAAGATAATAAAAGAAAAATGGCATTGCTCAGCTAAACCTCAATCCACTCTTAAGAATGCTCATCTTTCTAGAGCCAATAGTATGCGAAAATTACGAGTATGAAGTATGACAGACTGACAGAGTCAACTTAAAAATAAGCTACAAAGGCTTAAGTACGAAATTGACTTGACCTTGAGACACCTCTGAAGTGGATCACATAAATATTCAGTGATTTTGTCAACGCGAATGCATCCCATTGTCCTTACAGCTAATGCACGAATAAGGGGATTTGGGTCCTGTGAGTCCTGCAGTAATGCTCACAACATTATAACTCCTTGCTTGCTACTTTGCTAGGACATCTAATGACTCAAAAAATGGGAATAGGTTTTGTAGTTAAGTGCAACCTCCTGCACAGTGCACAGTGTGTAACGGAATAGTGAAGTATATAAAAGTGCATAATTTACTTCAGAAAAGTGCAGGCGACATGAATGATGTAAAGTCCTTACTGGATCCTCCCTCCACATATGTGTGTGAGTCTGTATGTATTTAACTAATCTATCGAAGTATGTTGCATTAAACTACTACCAAATGAATTATAAATGTAAGATTCAAGATGGTGTGCTGTCTAACCTGTCTTATGCCAAATATTACTAAACCAGAGTGCACTGTATATCGTTTCTCTCCATAGATTACTGAAAACCAGCTAAACGTGTTTACAGCTATAAGAAACATTCACATCATTAACTCCCTCATCTTACCCTTTCCATATCCACAAATCTGTATCCTAAATGGCCAAAAAGATGCTTGGATTTCATATCTTTTCCATTCCTCACAGCCTAGACCCCCCCACCTAAAAAAATACTACCTCCGTCCCAAAAAATACTTCTCACTTTCCTTTTTGGGCCGTTCCAATAAATACTTCCCACTTTTCCTTTTTGGACAATTTGTGTGGCTCACATTCATTTTACCTTTTTCTTGCAAAACTACAACCATACATTTCCACTTTATTCCAATTTCTTAATAAGCGTGCCAATTCAAACCGGGAAGTATTTTTTGGGATGGAGGGAGCATAACGCTTAAATCAAATTCAAATTATAACTTCCTAATCTTTTGAGGGCTACTTTTTTCCAATTCTGCAGCTCCATTCATCTCCTTTTCTCTATTTTTAAATCGCCGATTGTTCCTTTCACATCTCCAAAGTGTGGTCGAACTTGAAGAAATGAAATCATCGGTTGATGGAAATTACGAGTGAATAGTACCACACATAATGAAAAACCCATAATGAAGAGAACACACTTGAAATTGTCTTTTGAACTCATATTCCCTTTCCCATTCCAATGAATAACCTAAATTTCATACGATGCTTGAATGTTCCGTGTTCCAATTTTCGTGGTGCTATTCAATCATAACATGACACACCATTCAAAAAAATCATACGGATCTTGGTGGGTTAGGCAGCTCAGTTAAGTCTTTTAGACAGGTTATGTGCTGCACCATGTGAGCATCCCAATAACACAGCAAATATTGCAAGACTGGTATTACAATTTTCAATTTTTATTTAATGGTAATTACTAGTAGAGATGGACTAAAATAAATATTTCCTACCTTCACAAATGTATTTACAGCCAGAATTGCAAGATCAGGCTGGCTTTTAGCATAATTGATTAGGTACAAGTATACTAGCTTCTTAAGCTCCAAATTTTCAGTTTGCATACAATTCACAACATCAGTGAAGAGCGAAGACACATCCTTGCCAACAGTCATAGCCGCAATCACCTTTTTTACAGCATCTTTTCTCTTGTCCTGAAGCCCAATAAAAAAGTAAAGAAACATCATTGGTTATCATGAATCAGTTCGACATTAGTACAATCATTTCCATCACCTTTTGTAACATCTAATTAAGTAGAGCAAGTCACAATCAGTAGTGTGCTATGCTCTTCTATCTTGTCTAAGCTAAGGAATTGTCAAAAACCAAATTTGAAATGCCGAAGTGCAATTAGTTATGCTTGAAGTAAAACCTTTTACTTATATATGAATTTTTAAGCTAGATGAATTGTTCTTTAATTCAATAGATATAAAACTAACAGCACTGTAAGCTCAACTATATATATAACCAATATGTGCATAAACCATTTACATTAAAATGGGTCACAAAAATTCAGATATATAAACATGTAATGTCTACAATTCCAGCTTACAAAATAGAATTGGCACTAAAATAAGTTATGATCCTAACATAATTTCCAAAGTTTCCACCATTTCCTCAAGTTCTGTTGTAGATACGCTTATGTGCACTCCTACAATACAGCAGTGATCTGAATAAAAAAAGGTTCTTTATTAAGATCGATAAACTAATTCAAGTGTCCGAATATGTATTTGACCGATTCATTTAAAAGCGCGTTTAGATCATCAAGCCGCATCTAATCTAAATCACAATGCAAACTAGAAAAAGTTGCCAATCAGCATCGTTGTTCCGGAGATCAAATGCAAGCTCTAGTATGCATTTCAGATATTCAAATTCACATATGCGCAATATGTGTGTCCGCGCATGTATTTGCGGATAAAATGAAGGCCAGAGAGGGGTGAAAGATGAAACCTTGTACTGGGAGTTGAGTTCTTCTTTGAGCTCAGGGATTTCGCCTTTCTTCGTGGTAGAGAAGTACTTGGAATCGTGTCCGCTCATATCTGATCACTCCACTCGAGCTGCCCGGCGGGGTAGGGGAGGGGATGCAGGATGAAGAGCGCAACGGGTGAATTGGCAATCTGGATTTTGGCAAGTTAATTCCAGTGCGTAATATTACGTCTCATCCGCAGGGGCGGGCATTCCACGAGCCAAAAGTAGGGGTGGGGACGGGGGAGGATCAACCCAAAAATAGAAGGGATAATTTGAGTTTGCACCCCACTTTATTGTCGAAATTAGACTTTGCATCCCGTTTTTGAAGTGTGGTGCAAACTCAAAATACCCCAAATATAAAACCGGAGGACTTTTTAGTTTTTTGAAAAAATGGTCATTTTTATAAAAGGATAAAAATTGCTTTTTTATACGAAGGTTAGATTTTTTTGTCCTATGTCACTATTAGATTTTTACAAAACTTTTGAAGGTCATTATAACCACAATCACGTCTTTTTTTGGACTAATGTCCAAGTCATCCTCATTCTTATTAGGCCCTTCTCACCATTACATTTGTACAAGTTTAAGCCGTGAAAGCCATTATGAAGCTACTTACTTTAGAGACGGAGGTGTGGGAAGAAGAATAAGAGAAGCCAACCCCTAACATGGAGGGAAATGTCCCATATTAATAGGGAAAAGGGGAGGGAGCAAAGCCATCCTAATGGGCCAAAATGGGATAAATGGGTCGGATGGGCAAATGGGATCTGATGAGCCAAGATGGGCCTCCTTGATTGAGCTTCACACTGGGATAATATCTTGGCCCTCTAAACAGTAGTAAGTCGAGATAATATACCTCAACATACACACACACACACACATATATACATACATACATACATATAGGGGTGGGATCACATACAGACTCTTCCTCCCATGCTAACTTACAAACTGTCACAAACTGTGCATCTTTACGTTATTTGTATTGCATATTGAAGTCCAAAGTGTTGCGTATTACTCCCTCCGTCCCTATTATATTGTCCCATTTTACCTTTTCGGGAAGTCCCACTAAAATTGTCCCATACCATATTTGGTAAAGTTTGTGTGGTTCTAAATCATTCTTACTTTATTCTTACTTTATCAATTAATATCAACAACACAATCCCACTTTTCTTAATAATCGTGCCACTCTCTTCCGACCCAATATAAGAGGGACGGAGGTAGTATTTGCATTGCAGATTGAAGTTCAAAGTGTTGCATGTTATTTGTATTGCAAATTGAAGTTCACAGTGTGAATCTTTACATTATTTGTATTGCATATCGAAGTTCAAAGTGTTGCATATTATTGAATTTGTAGGTTAGTATTTTAAGCATGGTTTGTATTTGATATCTTATATATATAGGGTCGGGTTCTAATGAGAAGACATCTTAATGTGAGAAGTTACACATTTACCTATTTTGATGCACTTTTTTGCTAATCTCATGCACTTTTTGTGATGGAAGAAAAGTTCCGATTAATTACGAAAATGTCACCGCGTCTAGCATCACTTTTTAAATATTTTTTGCACTATCCCGTGCACTTTTTTGCTAATCTGATGCACAGATCTTAAATTGAACGCAGCAGATACATTCTCACTTCTTACGATAAACACTCTTCTCATTTGATCCTTATTATATATATATATATATATATATATATATATATATATATATATATAGAGAGAGAGAGAGAGAGAGAGAGAGAGAGAGAGAAGATCAGGTGAGAAGTCCCCCTTAAAATGAGAAGTGAGAAGTAATCGCAACCCTTGGATTTGCATCTAATCTTACAACACAGCAAACTTATAGACTGAATATAGCAACTTATAACCAATAAATCATAACTTATAAAGCTCTTCATCTTAATTACGGAAATGCCACCCCGTCAAAAAAAATTCCAGGTTTCTGGAGTTATTTTGATGCGGTGGCATTTTCGTAATTATTTTCGAGGGGGTCTATAAGTTATGATTTATTAGTTATAAGTTCGTGCTTTTAGCTTATAAGTTAAATTTCACAGTTCTCAGCCTAAGGACATTCTCACCTGTTTTTAGCTTATAAGTTAAACTTCGCAGTTCTTAGCCTAAGGACACTTCTCACTTGATCACTCCATATATATATATATGTGTGTGTGTGAAAAAATGGAAAAGATGTTGCCTCCAAGGTTTCAAAAGACAAATATATTACCATTTTAAAATTTGACAAAAAAGTAAACTAACTGCTTCTAACCTAAACGACCGACCTCTCTAGCATCGACCTTTCTCCTTCGCATCTCTCCTCTTCGCTTGCTCATCTCTGCTGCGGACAGAGCAGTCAAACCGCCTTCACTGCCTTGGTTGTTGCCATCGCCCTCCACCTGCTCTTGATTGTCCTCTCCCAGTCTTCGTCTTCCTCGCCACGACATCTAGGGTTCGAAGATGACTTTCAGATCTGCGACTATATGAGCTGGTGTGGTTCAACCAGTGGTCGGATCTGGAATTGGATGTGGGAGTGATGGTGTAATGCAGAGATTGTTGGGGCTGGATGGGGGCTGGGTGAGGTGGTGGGGCATCGATTGTGTAAGAGATGGGTGCTGGGAAGTTGGGGGAGCGGGCAGGGCTGGGATGGAGACGCTGGTCAGGTGTTGCAGGGGACGCCGGTGAGAAGGGGATGGGGTATGCTGGAAAGGGGGTTGGGGTTGGTGTAGGAGAAGGGTTGGGATTGGCAGCCAGCGGTGACGGCCAATGGTGGCGGCTGACGGCAGCGGCAGGCTTGGCACAGGACTGAGGGGTTGTGGGCAGCAGGGGAGGGATGGATGGAACACCTATCGATGTCACCCTAGCAACGTCACTTTGGTCGGAGTTACTTTGCCGATGTCACTGTGGCCGGCGGCGGTGTCACTGTGGTGGTGTCACTATGGCCGGCGGTGGAGTCACCGTGGTGGTGACCGATGGTGATGACATTGACATAAAATAGTGACATAACAGTCCGATAAAAAATGACTGTCATCATGTTTTTTCAAATATGTGACCTTCTTATTCACATTTTCGTCATTTTTAAAAATGGTCACATTTTTGGAATTCACTTTAATTTTTGTAATATAGAAGGAAAAAACTCTCTCTCTCTCTCTCTCTATATATATATATATATATGTTTTAGTTCAAATAAGAACACAATCTTATGAGAGAAATAAGAACGAATTCTAGTCATTAGATTGAATCATTTTCCGTGACAATTACGTGTGATCTCCTTGCCCATATTGGTCATTACATATGTGCTTCAATAACCTTCCATTTATATTTGTACGTCATTCATTTTCAACATTTAAATGAATCAATGATTTGCTTTCCTTTTCAATCACATTCCAAATATAAAATGAGCTAGCATGTTTTTCATACTCCTACGTACAATATGATTTTCATATTAGTGGAGTTCATATTTTTATTTAAATTTGATATGTTTTATTTTATTTAATATTTCCTTTATTTCTTTTGAAATATTGTCTTTATTTTTTAGAGACAAAATGAAACTTTTTCTACAAAATCGTGACAATTATTCGATAGTGTCTTTTGATATCAATTGTATATGTAAAATATTTAAATAAAAATAATGAAAAGTGCATGAAAAATATATGATACATGCATCAAAGTCATATAATTATATTGTGCATTTACATATGAGTCGTTGTGCACTTTTTAGTAAATATGAAATAATCTCTTATACTAAGGTGTGCACTTTTTAGGTAATTTAGATGTACTAATGAGAAAATAATCTTAAGAGAGTAGAATAATTCTGAACCGTTAGATTGTATTATATCAAATTGAATGTGTTTTAGGAGACATTGAAATGTGCATTAAGTAGGTGAAATTTAAATGTGCAACACAAAGGGTACGCGTGACACGGTGACATTATGTGAAATTGAATTGTGCATTAGATGAAACTCAAATGTACATTAGGGGAAACCGAAATATGCACAATCAGAAGTTACGACACGTTGCCATTTTTGTACTTTTAATTCTGCACATTTTAATTTCACTTGATTCACCTTTAAGTTTTACTTTTTATTCTGCACATTGCAGTTACATCTAATGCACATTTCAATTTCACCAAATGCGTATAAATTCTTAATGCACATTTCAATTTCACTCAATTCACATTTAAGTTTTACTTTTTATTCTGCATAATTCAGTTTCACGTAATGCACATTCAGTTTCACCAAATGCATATAAATTCTTCATTTGAAAAAAAGGATGTTTTTATGTAAATAACGTTCAATTTTATTTTGTTATATAGTGGAATTATTAATAATTCAAAATTAATATATCAATATCGTGTTATTCTAATGATTTTAAAATTCACTTTTAGTTTATACTTGGTGAACATAGTAATGTTTCGTTCATGGTTACCAATTTTAATAGACAAATAGTAATTGGCAAGTACTTTAATGATCTAGATTTGATTAAGTAGTGCAATGTTTTGTAACGGAATATATATCTTGAGTTTAATAGTCATGTGTGAGAGCATATTGTTTTTACTTATGTGCCCTTTAGTAATTACTATTATACGTATATTCCTTTTAAGTTTTTCACTACTTGTCCATAATTAATAGATTTCCATTATTATCATGCTTCATTTGTAGCCATCCGTTTGCTTGAATCAGAGGCTAGATTTCATTCTTATTTCTCTCCTGAGACACCGTTCTTACCGGAATCGCTCCCTATATATATATGTATATATATATATATGTATATATATGTATGTATGTGTATATATATGTGTATGTATATATATATATATGTGTATATATATATATGTGTGTATATATATGTATATATATATATATATGTGTGTGTGTGTGTGTGTGTATATATATATGTGTGTGTGTGTGTGTGTATATATATATATATATATATATATATATATATATATATATATATATATATATATATATATATATTGATATATATAGGGAGCGGATCAGGTGAGAAGTGCCCTTAGCCTGAGAAGCTGCGAAGTCTAACTTATAAGCTAAAAGTACGAACTTTTAAACAATAAATCATAACTTATAGACCCCCTCGAAAATAATTACGAAAATGCTACCTCGTCAAAATAACTCCAGAAACCTGGAAATTTTTTTGAGGTGGTGACATTTCCGTAATTAAGATGGAGAGCTTTATAAGTTACGGAGTATGATTTATTGGTTATAAGTTACTATATTCAGTCTATAAGTTTGTTGCGTTGTAAGATTAG